TTTTTTTTTTTTTTTTTTTTTGATCGGATCTGAACGACAGTAAATTATTTTTGCCACCTTATTTTTATTAGAGAAGAAATAATTGTAAATGTTAAAAAAATGTTAATGAGGAACAAAAATTAACAAATTAATGTAAAAAATGTATTGTAAAAAGGAAATGAAAATTAGTTTATTTATAACAAATTAACGTTTTTTTTTTAATTTTAATAATGGCAAGTAAAAAGAATTAAATTGAAAAATTCAAAACCATAGGAACCAAAATAAAAATATTCCAAAATCATATGAATCATATTTGTGATTTAATTTTATATGGTAAAAATTAATTTATACTAAGAAAAATTGAAGTTGTATGAGGTAAAATTTTAAACTAACCATTTTATTAATTTAAATTATGATTTTTACAAATATATTAATTTACCATTTATTCTAGCTTTTATTTATACAAACTTATAATTATATCAATTAAACTCTTGAATTTTTCATAAATTAATTATTATTATTATTATTATTTTGATAATTTTAATTTAAAATATAAATTAAGTCATTTATTAAAGTGGAGAGCTAAATTAACTAATTTTATCAATATCCTTTTTTTTTTCAATATTAAATAATTAAAAATAAGTGTGAGCTGAGATTTGCCTCCATTTATCCTACTGCCGCGCTATAACAGCCCGCCAAAATGCTTCTCCACCAAGCCCGTTATCCTTTACTATAAATAACGTCGCAAAGCGAATTCGCTTAGGACTTTTTTTTTGCATTTTTAGAGGATATGATCTCTTAGGCGCTCTCGATCCGACTTCTTCTCTTTCTCCTCATTCAGGTTTCCTTCTCACTTATCATCTGTAATTTAATTTGTAAATTCGTGTTTAAAATCTGCACTGCGTTTGCATTTTGATCTTATCTGTTTCCGTCGATGTTGTTCCTTTCTTTAGGAAGAGATTGAGATTCCGATTGGCTTGAAATCGCGGTGTTCTACTCGGAAGCTTCCTTGAGTTTGCTGTTCATCGATGTTCTTGTGCACTTTGAAGGATACAAGAAAACAGAGGACGACTCATCGGAGATTCGAGTGAGTTGATTCTTAACCGACTTGAATTTACTTCTTAAACATGTTTGTGAATATGAAGCTACTGAAGCTCGAGATCAGATGTTGTGTTTCTAATTTATGAATGAAAATTTCTCGGATGCCAGAACCAAACACTAATTCTTTAAAAAGTCGATCGTTCAAACATGCGGTAGTTCACTACGTACTAACGAATTAAATTGAATTAGAGGAGGTAGATGTAACTGTAATAGCTATTATGTTGTTAAGTATGTTATGTTCTGTTGAGTTGAAAGTCTATTTAGTCATTACGAAGAGTATCTGTACGATTCGTGAAGATTATTTCATGATATCGGCGCCTTTTTTTTTTTTTTTGTGTGTGTGTGTGTGTGTGTGTGTGTGTGTGTGTGAATAATGTCGTTTGATCCTTCTTCCACGCGTCTGGTTCGTTTCCACTTGTCATCTTCGTTCATTCCTTTGCTATATTTGATTCCACCGATCGTGACATGCGTTCACCGACTTTTGTCCTTTCAAACATTTGTAATCTTGTATCCGTATGACTGGATTCCTCGAATCTTAGCCTCAACAATCTTAGTTCCAGACTACTGCCACATACTTTTCCGATAGAACTTCTTCTAAGCAAATCCTCTGTCTGAAGATTACCACATCTCATGCACTCATGATTCTTATCAACACTACGTTATCGCCTCCAGCCCTTGCGTATGTCGTTGGCCGTGAAACATCATGTCAGATGTAGGAAACTCTAGAAAAACACTATTCTTCAACCTCGCGTGCCAATTTTGTCAATCTATGCTTTAAAAGGGATGCCTATTGAATATAATACACTTCGTACATCTTTACGTACGTGATCGTACTTTGTTTCTTTTGATGAACTTCTTGTTTTTCTTGTCATTGAAGAATCTGCCATCGGGATATAGTTTAAGCGTAACCAGAATGTTACATCACTGTCTACTCTTCTTACTCGAACAGGATCCTCTTAAGAAATCAGAATCTAATCCTAGTGTCTATCGTAACTGAGGTGATAATGGTAGAGGACGTGGTAATTGGGTTAAACCTGGAAATTATATGCCCTACGGAAGTTGGTCGAGGTTCTGGTCCTCCTCAAGATTCTTCTAATAAATTTCAGTTGAATCAAACAGCCTCAAAGATACAAATTATGTGTTGAGGATGGTTGGAGTCCCATATTGATTGTAATAATCGCATGAACAACAGCTTCCAAGGTTCACATCCACCATTTCAGCTTGCTGCTATGGTGGTTACGCAGAACTATAATGTTGTTGCTAATACATCTACTGTTTCCAATTCTTCCATCGTGTTACTTCCGATTTAAATAATTTTTCTGTTGCAAATGAATAGTCTGGAGAGGAACAAGTAGCTGTAGCCTGTAGGCAATGGTCAATCCCTCCTAATAAATTTAGGTCGTGCTATTCTTCTAACTCCCTTAAAACGTCTTGATCTTATTCGAGTTCCTCTCATTTCTTCCAATCTTCTCTCTGTTAATCGCTTGTGTGCTGACAAGAATTATATTATAATTTCCGAAAATGTCTTTTTCCTCCATTAGAACAAGTCTTCGAGCAAGATTCTTCACCGAGGTCCCAACATTAATGGCCTTTATTCTATTCATCCTGCAAAATATTCTTCCTTTCCAAGTCCACTTAGTATCGTTCATGTTGGAACAGAACATCAACTTCAGTCTAGCATAAACTAGTCAGGCCATCCTAGTGATCCTATACTTAGTTCTGTTCTTAAATCCATGAATTTGTCTTCCTCTTTTGATTCTAAGTGTGTCTTTTATCCATATCTTCAAGGCAAGCTGCGTAAAAGGACTTTAAATCTTCAATTTTTGTTTCTTTGCTTCCCTTTAGAACTCGTTCATACTGAAGTCTGGAGACCTGGCTCGACTACCCACGACACAAATCCGATGTTGTTCATATTTTGAATCCTCTAGACCTCTTGTTGAAAATCTTTTGTCTACTCTTATTTAAACACTTCGGAGTGATGGGGGAGTTTGTCAATAATTCCCTTGGTTTTTACCTTCTAACTCATAGTATTCAGCATAAAAAAGTTTGTAGTCTGTACTTCGGAACAAAATGGAGTTTCCGAGTGAAAACATGGACATATCCTAGAAGTTACTTCGATTTTAATGACTCAATTTTCTCTTCCTAACAACTTTTGGCCTTTTGCTTTTGCTGCTTCTGTCTTTTTAATCAACCCTCTTCCTAACCCAACTCTAATAAACCTTCTTTTTAGCTTTTCTTTTTCCATAAGCCACTCGATTATACAATTCTTAAAACCCTTGGTTGTGTCTGTTATACACTTCTTAGGGCCTACACTTCAGCCCAAAAGAACCCGTATAATTTTACTTGATTATCCTAAAGACCTTGAGGGATATCTGTGTTACAAAATGAGCAATAGGCGTCTCTATACATCTAGGATAATCAAGTATACTTTTAGGGATATCTTGTGCATAGTAATCGCTCTATAATTATTATATTTTTCTTTCTTTCTTTTGATTCTTTTTTTTTTCTCCCTCCAAATTACCACTGATGTTATTAATTTTGAATTTCCCACTCTGCTGTTCTTGCTAACACTTCTGCAGCCACTGAGTTGACTAGTGGATCACATATGGTAACTGATGTTTAAGATCCTTGTGTTGTTCAAACTGATATTGTTGCAAGTGATGCTATTCGGCCTGCTCCAGTTAATACTAATGTTTCATTTTCTTACTTGCCTCTTGTGCATGGTAATCGTTCTAGGAAAACCCATAGTAAGTCTGGCATTTCAAAGCACGAAGTTTTAGTTGCTACTACCAATGTTTGATCTGATTTGGAACCATCATGTTTCACTAAGCCTTCTTAAATTTTCAGTCCGGCAACACTTTGGAATATTAGGTTTTTTTTTTTTTTTTTGTAACCATCTAAGCCCACGGCTTACCGTTATAAGATATTGTTCTCTTTGAGCTTTCCCTCAAGGTTTTTAAAACGCTTCTACTAAGGAGGTTTCCACACCCTTATAAAAAAATGTTTCATTCCCCTGTACGAACAATGTGGGATCTTACACGGGGACTTGGATTTTGACTCTGGGCAAAGGTGTCATAGGTTGTAAGTGGTTCCGAACAATGTGGGATCTTACACGGGGACTTGGATTTTGACTCTGGGCAAAGGTGTCATAGGTTGTAAGTGGTTCCGAACAATGCACTCTCCTTGTGTGTCTCATTTAGTGGTTCTCAAATGATTGCTTTGATATCTTGGACGGGGACTTGGATTTTGACTCTGGGCAAAGGTGTCATAGGTTGTAAGTGGTTCCGAACAATGTGGGATCTTACACGGGGACTTGGATTTTGACTCTGGGCAAAGGTGTCATAGGTTGTAAGTGGTTCCGAACAATGTGGGATCTTACACGGGGACTTGGATTTTGACTCTGGGCAAAGGTGTCATAGGTTGTAAGTGGTTCCGAACAATGCACTCTCCTTGTGTGTCTCATTTAGTGGTTCTCAAATGATTGCTTTGATATCTTGGACGAACAATGACAAAAGGTTTCCTTTTTTGAAGGGACCAATTCTAATCCTTTTTTTGCTCATGACATATTCTTACTCTGATTGGGCTGCTGAGCATCTTGATTGCTGTTTAACTACTGGCTTTGTGATCTATCTAGGCTCCATAAATCTCGCAAGCTACCGGAAGCTATCAGACCTATTACGAATTCACGATTGCCAAACAGGAGTGCTCAATCACTTGATCCATTTCAGGTACTAAGTTTTGTTATCATTAATAAAATTTGAATTCTATTTTTTAATTATTTTGTGCATGTGCGTGATACTCAATTGATTGCTTGAATTTAATTTACTTACTTTGGTTGCATCACAACTAAAGTTAAATTGGAAATCTTAGTCTTTAAATATTAAAAAAATAAAATAAATTCTTGAAAATAATATGCTATTTGTTTTTTTATTTTTCTCAATAATAACGAAATAGAGTGAATTTTTCAATTTTATTATTCACTTCAGGGAAAACAGGATTGATGCCAACTGTTCAAAAATTTGAAATAATCTTTTTAGGCCTCTAAAAAGTGGTGGAAAGTAAAAGCAATAAAGTCACAAATATTCTTCAACGACCATAATTTTATGCAATTTCGAATTTTGGAATACAAACTTGTTGATTGGACTTGAATCTCTCACTATTTTAATAAATATTTAGTTTTTTATTTTTTATTTTAAAATTTAAATCTATAGATACTACTTTTACCTATAATTTAATTATTTTATAATCTATATTTTAATTGGTACTTTTAAATGAAAAACCAAAACAGAAGTTTTTTTTTTTTTAAATTGTCTATAAATTTCAAATGTTTTACCTACAATTGTAGAGTAATATTGGAAAAATAAATTCAATTTTTATAAAATCAAAGAGTGATTAAATAAGATTTAATTTTTTTATTTCTGTTTTATACATTTAATAATTCCTTACAGCAATCTCATGTTTTAAGCATGTTTTATGTAATAAAAAAAATGCGTGTTTTACGTTTGTGTAGATGAATGATGCTTACTTTAGGTTGAATTCTTAAATAGTGGTTTCATACTTTGTGGTTCAAAATTTAAATTTTTTGTTAAATTAAAATTTCAATTCTTTGAAATTTTAGATTGTCATGAATTTTTTACTTTTAAAATTTTTCCTGATAAAATTTTGATAGATTTAATATTTTACTTTAAAAAAAATAACTATTAGACAAAATTGAATTACATGTAATAAATCTTTGCCTTTTTAACGTGTTCCGACATCTATTTTAAATATTGAAGATTTTTTTTAATATAATTATTAGTTTAAAGACTTGAGTAGAAACTTCTTAGACATTATAAGGGAGCTAACGAAGCCATTAAACTTTATTCTTGTAGAGTGAGCTTCACTGTTTGAGTTAGAAAATTGTAAGCAAATATATTTATGTACATCTTATTTCAAAATTGTATTTTCAGTGTTTCTCGAGTTAAGGATGAAAATTGTTAGCACATATATTTTTGAATAACTTATTTCTAAATTGTATTTTCGAAGACATTTGAATGATTATTATTCTTCTTACCTAATTTTAAAAACAATATAGGTACCATACACCAATCAGTTTCGTTACATTCCTAAGATAATCATTTTATTAAAAAAAAATTATAATTCTAAATTAATTGAACGAAAAGGTCAAATAGGAATAAACTAATAAATCATCAAAAACTAACTTCACTGAAGTAATAATCCAACAAACACAACTTTAGAAGCATTCATCAAAACATTAACGCGGGAGGCTCTCATCATTCAAAATTTGCAATATAGCTAACATCTTATATAAAATCTCAGAAGTAGAGGAAAATATTGCATTTCCTACTGTTGGCGAACTTCAACTTTCTTCTTCTGCCACAACCTGTCCAAAGCGCTGTCCGCATCTCCCTGTTAAATATAACCCACGAAGACTTCAATTTTCATGTTAACCGTAAAACCTAAACCCCTCCATAATCTACTTTCTTCATCACTTATTCAAAATATGTGTGTGTGTATATATATAGAGAGAGAGAGATCTACTGAATTGAAAATTAGAAAACCATCTAAACATTGGCTTTTTTTTTAATAAATTAATGGTTGGAACTTGATAAATCTTATTTTAAATTCATTTGATGAGCAAATTTCGCAAGTGTAGAGTTTTGAATTGGATTTTTTTTATTGCTCTTGAAAATTTCGTGAAGTGACTACAAACTAGAACTTTCCTCACAATCTACTCTAACAGAACTCGCTTAGAAAACAACGCTAATGCTATGACATATAAAAATCTAGTTCAAAACTTTACTAAGGATATTTGTTAATTAAATGAGTTTCATGACGTGACTAAAAACTACTTTCCTCACCAACAACTCTAGATAATAAAAAATGAATGCAATGTCAAATACAAAAATCCAATAAAGAAAAAATCAAGATATTTTATTCAAAAGCTCCAATCAAAGAGACAATGGGATGCCGATGAGCATCCAAAAGAGAAATCCAACTCGACATTCAAATATAAATGGCAGCACAATTAAAGACAAAGAAGCATGGTTGAACACGTGGACGCCAAGCTTTAAAAGACGTACACGACATGGCACTTCAATATAAACCGCTTTATAACAAAACTCTTACCATATACATACATACATATTTCATCATTCTTATGAAAACTCATTATTTCTAGACAATTATCCTTATACATTTTGATATGAAAGACGACAGTTGAGAGGTAGCAAAACTTGTAACGTTATACAAAACTATTTGAAGAATCAAATCCAACCAAATGGAACATGCTGGTTCCAAAAGTTCATTCAAAATGTTCAACTAAGGAACGACAAAATTGGAAAACAAGTTCAACTTTCAAAAGTAGAAAACTAAAAGTTTAACTACTAATATATTTTTTGATGTGTTAAACAAAGATTTACAATAATTAGCAACTCGACAAATATTTCAGCGTAACCTATGGTAGAAAAAACATGGTAAAAAGATCTACAAAAAAAATGTCATATTTTCCAACTAGCGTGCAAGCATATATGATTATAGCTAGTTACCTATATATCTATGATAATCGCGAAAAAATTCCAAGACAGTTAATACTATCAAAAGAAAAAAAAAAAAAAAATCGACAAGCGCAGAAGATTCCATAAAATCATTCACAACAATTCGAGAAGGTATAAAGACAGAAATTCAAATAAGAAAAGGCTTCATATGTCGGTGAAGCAGCCACTACAATATCAAAAGTTACGTAATTAACAGCAAGCTTAATCCTATGACCGAATTCTAAAATAAACAAAGAAAAATTAGTAAGGAACAAAATGTGTTGTCTAAAAGCTCTAAATGAATCAGAGAAAACCTATAAGATTCAATCTATATAATGCCGATTAACAACATTTCAGACAGGTAAATAAACGAAAAGTACGAGTAGAGAACGCAATTCAAATACGAAAATGCTTTTATCTCGGTGAAGCAGCCACTAAATAACCTAATTAACCTTACTACATAACCAGAAATCACACGAAAAAAAAGAAGAAGAAGAAGAATAAACGTGCAGCCAATTTTTATACTATAGACAAACGAAAAAACATTTACGGAAATTATTATTGAAATCGAACCTGAGCACGGATGTAACCGCAGAGTGCGAAAGTGGAGAACTGGCCAGTGTAGATGCCATTCTCATCTAAGTGACCGACGTTAATCTGAACCGAGGCATGGTCCTTTGAAGTGATAAGTCTGTTTGTCGCAGAGCTGAAATCAGATGCCACAACGACGTTCTGAAAAAGTTAGAAACCAAAATGCAAATAGTAGAAAATGAATACAACGTAAGAGTTCAGACAACGCTACTCACCACTTCCTAGGAATGTAAAGCTCGGTGATCTTTCCCTCTTCGTTCTGCATTTTGGCTTCGGCGTCTTAATTTGAACTAGAGATAAACCTGCTTAAGTAAAGAAACGACGCATTGAGACGCAGAATATATATATAATCCATTGTGAATGAACGAACGTTTAAACTAGAAGCGGGAAAAACTACGAACGTTTAAATCAATCGAAAGTAAACTAAAACAAGAAAATAAGAACATTCAGTATCCGATTTACATGTACTCGTTTAAATTTAAATGAAGACAATAGGAAGTAGAGAAACTGCTGTTTGATGATTAGAAACATGAAGCGTGAAGAACTACGAACAAAACACAAGAAGAGAAAAGGAATTATAGATTCGAGAGGGATAGACGGCGTGATGAGAGAAAAATACCTGTCGGCCAACTGCTGCGGGAGGGAAAATTCGGAGAGGAATTACGGTGAAATGCTCGCTAAAACCCTAGTCCCTTTATATATGAGCCTTTTTTTGGGCCTGCTATGCGGCCCAATACTGTTGAGTTCAATGTTGCTTTGTGGAGGAGGCATCTTAGTTGGGCCGTGGCGGGCCATCAAGAGTTTAGAGGTGATTTAACAATTAAATTTTTTTTTCGTATTAAAAATCATTTAAAAAAACATATTTTTAATTATTTAAAAAAAAAAATTATGCCATGAAAAATTGCTTTCATAATTGTGAAATTCAATATTAATTTTATTTTGTATCATTAGTCGCACATTTTTAAAATTGACAATTTCAACATTTATTTTTTTTATAATGCTACAATATTTTAAATATCATTAATTTTACATATTGCTTTAAAATATACTCATATTCTTTTAAACATCGGTATATTACCATGGACATTTACTAAATACTAAAAAAAAATTAAAATCAAAAACCCGATAGAATATTAAATCAAAATTCAACACGTGTTACGCTTTCGTAGTTAATACATACAAGCATCTTAATTATTACCATGTAATTTCACGTTATCATTTTTTCGTCCGATATTGCAAATATTTTTATTATATAACTAGTTTTTAAATATTTATGAAAATTAGGGTAATATGGTAAATATATATACTATATATTTATATTTTATAATTTTAGTAATTAATTTTTTCTAAATGTATACACGTCGACTCAGCACATTGCTCACAGGAATACAAGTTTTCCTTATTAATTACCACACCTTTTGCTGACGTTTGACACCACAAAACTTCTTAAATTACCACGCGCTTACTTCACCTTTTGCAAATTTTCCATTTATTATTACCATTTTTCTTTTTCGTCGACCAATTTCTCCTTAAATATGATTACAAATTTAAAAAAATGACGTAAAAAGTACAGCGAATAAGACTTGAACACGTGTCCTTACATACCCAGAAAAATCTGGGCCCACTTGCACCTGATTGCCTCTCCCTGTCACGATTTGCTGTCCTCTTAACTGGCATTACTATCCATACATGAAACAGATCATTATTTTTCATTTTATTTTTCGCAATTTTATTTTTTTGTTTTATCATAAAAAATAATAATAATTTGGAGTTTCATACTCAACTCAAATGCTAAATCGTATTTTTTATTTTTTAAATGTTATTAAATTATAAAATTGAAATCCAAAAACTATAATTTATTATAAAAGTTGAAATTCTTTTTTTTATCAAACTATTTAAAAAGTTTTATAAAAAAATATTAGGACAAACTTTTAACATTTAAAAACAACATACCAAATGTTTATTATTTTAATAATCTTTTATTTGAACTGATATTTCTTCAATAAAATATTTAATTTTTCGTGTAAAATTACTTCCTGACTTGAGTTGTATTTTCATTTTTTTTATTAAAATAGTAATAATTTCTAAAATTTAATGTCTAAATTATATTATATAATAATTCAGTAATTATAATTCAACATCTATAAATATTTAATACATAAGGTGTAAACTTTTTTAAATATTGATTAAAATTTAAAGCATTATATCGAGATTAGTGATATACTTCCATATAGTTTTTCGAAAAATAAAATTGATATTTTATTAAATAATATATTTACTAAAGGTGTGTTGAATAAATATTGAGGTTTAAATTTTATAAACACCGTTTTTAAGAAGTTCATTTGTCTTTTTATATATATATATATATTTATATATTTATTTATATATAAAATATTGTCAAATTAGACTATTAAATTAGGATTTTCACATGGAATGTCAACTTTTTTTTCGGTCAAATTTCTGATAAACAAACAATTTAAAAATTTTCCAATTAATCAGCTGTCCTCCAAATTGTTTCTCATTTATATTTTCTGATAATGTTTCGAAATTATTTTTCCGTTAACTATTAATTCTAACACGGTAAAAGAATACGTAATATTTGGTATAAAAATTTATTAAAAAAAATGGTCGTTTTATTTATTTTATTTGATGATTTTCGGCTGTGGGCGGCAACAATTATTATTTATTATTATTATTTTAATAGGCAGCCAACAATTGCAAGGCAAATTTAAGGCGAAGAGCCTAATTATTAGTTGGTCGCCATAAACTTCTTCACATTCACAAAAAGGAAAAAAACAGAAAATTAAAGGCGAAAAGCGTGTGAAGGTTAAGTGGCAATAGCGTAATTAACAGACAAAGCGGGGGTATTTCTCTACAAGACTTCACATTATATTCACGCACCACTCTCGCTTCGTTCCTCTCGAACCAACAGAACCTCCAAATGGAAATCTCACGCGTTTTTTCCTTCCTCGCGGCCTCCGCCATTATCGCCGCTCACTTTCTGCTCTCATCGGCGATGGTCGTCGATTTCTCCGGCGATGACAAACTCCTCTTCGTTCCGGCCGAATCCAAGTGCAGAGGCTCCATTGCTGAATGCTTTCTCGCCGGAGATGACAATGATTCCGCCTTCGGAATGGAGTTCGAGATGGACTCTGAGATCAATCGCCGAATTCTAGCGGCTTCTCGCTACCTGAGCTATGGCGCTTTGAAAAGGAACAGCGTTCCTTGCTCTCGCCGCGGTGCTTCTTACTACAACTGCCAGCCTGGCGCTCAGGCCAATCCCTACAGACGCGGTTGCAACGCCATTACTCGCTGCCGGAGTTAATTTCTTACCAAAATCTTTTTTGGATTTAGAATCATCGTCGTATTCTGCCGGTTAGTTCTTCGTGTGTTTATACTGAATATACATGTCGATTTGAGTAATAAGGTCCATAGAGGATTGCAAATGTAATTTACATCAGTTTCTCTGAGTCGTCTATGAGTTTTTTTGAGCTGATTCTGTTTTATCCAGAGATAACTGTTCTTGTTTGCAATTGGTAATACAGTAGTAGGAAGAAACACAGTATTTCTGTAAATTTCTGGTGGATCTTGCTGAATTTGCAGGGGCCATCATCTGAGTTCTTTATTTGTTCATGATCATTTATTCATTATAAATCATATTCTCTTCGTTTATTTTATTTATTTTGTTTTGTTGAATTGTTGTGATGCAGATTTTGTCTTCTTACATTATTGTTATTATTGAATCTGGAAACAATGTTCTAACTTACCAAAAATGATCAATTATTTTAATTTTATGTTTTTAAAAATTACATATTCCTTGATCACCAAGTTATTTGTTGCTTTTCTATGACTAAATAGCTGTGAAATAATCATTGAATAAATAAAATTTACTTTAGAAATGATAATTGTTAAAAGAAAATAAGAAAAAACGAAACGTTTTTTTTCTTTGTTTGTATAAAAAGAAAGAACAAACTGTTTATCAAACCATCAATTATGGTTTCCATGGGTTTACTCGAGCAAATAAACTGAAGAAAAAAAGAAAAAAAAAACTCTAAAATCTAATTTTATTTATAAAATAGAAAACTAATTTTTTGTTTTTAAGAAAATAAAAAGTACAAGCGAAAGCCTAAGCATGTGAGCGTTGGATTACGAATAGAGATGACGAAGACTCCAACTAAGACTGATTAAGAAGCAGGCAACATAATCAAAGCTAATGAGTTAGCGTCACATGGCTGTCACCGAAGGCCCTTAGCCTTTTTGCTGCTCGGTCATTAAGCGGGTTATACATATCCCTGTCATTTTAGCGTCCGTCAATGTTTTGCTGGTCCACTACCACATCGTTGCGGGACCCACTTCATGGCTTTCTTGCTCTTGCGAATAAAGACCCTTTTCTTTTTTTAATTTTAAATTTGAATTCGCCCGTTTGAATTGCTGCATGCCGTTTTGCATTTTTCCACCTTTTGTGCATTGGAATTAGATAAAGTGGAGTCAAAAGCTTAGAAATCAAACTATATAATAAAGATAAAATTAAAATAATATATTCCTTAAACTCTTCAAATTAAAAAAATATAGTTAATTTCCAATGTTTTAATGTTTAAATTAAAACAAAAAATCAAATATTTTTTTAGTATTTTAATTATGAATGGTATTTTAGGTTTTTTAAAAAGTTTAATAATTTGTGAAAATTGAAAATTGAAAATTATTATTATTATTTTAAAAAATATTCAAAATCACCACTAATTCCCTACTTTTGAATGATGGACACGTGGCGAAATATTAGAGTATCAAGAGAGTCAAAGCAATTTTACAAGTTAATTGATCAAGTGGCGGTCCAGTGCATGCTTTGCTATTGGTCACTGATAAATAAAAACGTTCTGGAAAATTACAGCGGGTGGGGTCCATTATATTATGCGCCGATGTGTCGTTTTTGTTTCGCTTCCTCGAAGAATCTCGCCACGCATAACGTATCGATGATTGTCGTTTCATTGACGCCTATTTAAACTCCCCCGCTAATTGTCGAATCTCATTTTATAGTTCATTTTTTTACCGTAATATTCGAATATTCGAAAAAATATTGCAAAAATCTAATTAAATTTCTTATGTATATTAAAAAAAAAAAAAAAAAATACCATACATGTTGAATGGTTATGTTTCTTAAAATATAAATATTAAGTTTTTGATATTAAATTATTAAAAAAAATATATTAATACATATTTGGGGTGATAAGTTACTAATTGATAATTGAATTTTTTTTTGTGTACACTTATTGAATTTAAAAAATATAAATCAACGACATCTCTAGTGCAACAATTCTGAAATTAAGGTTGACATTTGGATTTGGATTTTTGGTCAAACTCACTCACTCAATGAATTTTTGGACTTAGCTCTAAATTGGGTCCAATGATCAACGAGTTTTGGAATGGACTAATATTTTAGGATTAAATTACTACGATGAAGACACGTTGCACTCTACGAGAAAAAATCTATCTAAACTTCCAATTCTGGGTAGGACCCACAAAAGCACTAGATTCTATCTCTAATCGACTCGACACGTGGTTCTTGAATTTAAAATATCGATGGCATACGATCCAAACATACGTTTCAACGTTCTACATTGAAGCAAAACCCTTAAGCACGTGACCACTCATTTTTTTTATTGCAATTCACCACTAAATTTAGTTTTTATTTACTTTTTGAAATTTAAAAAGCAAAAGAATTTACTCTTGAATTTAATGTCTAATTATTCATTAAAATGAAATTAAGATTGGTTGATATTTTAAATTAATTTAATTAATATAGATTACCGTGTGTCATCATTTTATTAAGTGAATTAGTATCAATTTTAGTAAGAAATTAATTAGAAATTACAAAAAGGGTTAATTTAATAAAATGGAATTAAATCTCGAACCGTATTAAGAAAAACTCCCTTCGTACGGCACACACGCAAGAGTATAAAAACCGAACTTCAGAGTTTTAATGCCACTCAGTTCTCTCTTGCTCTCTGCCCGGCGGCTGTTCCTGCAAAATTTTCAAGAACCTTTTCGTCTCCTTCTCAGAAACCCTAATTCTACTCCGTACGGATTCCGCTACTGAAACTTCGACTCTGTATTTTCCATTTTTTTTGGAGTGAAGGCAAATTTTCGGCTTCAGGTTTTGCATTAATGGAGGGCTCTTTAGGGCAAAAGCATGAGCATCATGAATTCACTTTGGTTTCGATTTCTAAGCTTCCTTCTTCGACTTCGACGTCTTCTTCGTCCACTTCGTCGACGCCGGTGGTTGCTCGATTCGGAGGCGAGTCCGGCGCGGCGGAGCTTCGGTTCCGGCAGGAGGCCGATTCCGATGACTTAGCGTTCGATCTTCGGACTTCTCAGGTTCTGTTTTATTTGTAATGAGTTTGCCTTTTTGTGTACGGGAGAGTTTAGATGCAACGAAGAAGAGAGATATGAGTTTTTTTTTTTTTTTTTTTTTTTTTTTTTTTTTTTTTTTTTTTTTTTTTTTTTTTTTTTT